ACAATATGATTGTTAAATGTATTCAATGATTCGGATGAAATCTTTCTAACTACTGATTATCTTACTACTTGGTTTTTTAAACTAAAATTTTGAATTCGAAGCTTCAATATAATCGTCAAGTGCTTATATCAGGACAACATGTAAACAAGAGATTTCGAAGCTAAAATAGGTATCAAACGATAAGATACTTGAGATCTAATATAAAAAATGAGTACATTCGCTAATATTGTAGTCGCTTTTAAATCATATCAATGAATCTAAAGAAGATTCGTTTAGATTTAACAGATAATATCATATGAAAACTACAAGACTTGATCTTGAATTCACGTCATAAACTAAATACGAATATCTTTTGGTAGCGCATGTAAAAAACTGCTTTCAGATACACTATGGGATAAGGTTTGATAAAGACATATTACATCCAGTCAAGTAGGAAAATGAAACTACACCAGTAAATTAAAGTACTGCTTTTCTTGTGTATCTCATAAGTAGTGGTAATAGGCAGTAAGTAGTAAAAGGCACTAGAGATTGTTTTCCAGTTCAGTAAGTTTATCATGATACTTTGTATTGGATTCTTATTTTTATATTCATAAAATTTGAAACATATGACTTATATTTTAAGTTCCACAGATAACATATGTTTAACATTGACTTTCTCAACTTTAGGTGAAGGATCAAATCCTGTTGAAAATCAAAGTTTGGATAGAATTAGTTCATCCGATATCATTGTAAATTTGTTAACACGTCTTAGTTCAATGGAAAAGTAGGTTATCATATCTAAATATCTGAGCATTTTATTTCTCTTAAAATTATTTCTTTGTATCAGGTAACAGTTATTGTAATCACATAGTTACTTGTCTTTTATTTGGAGTCATCCACCTTCACTAACATTTATTTGTGCTTAAAAATCCAACAGTTAGAAAAACATTCTGATAACACAAGAACGCTTATTTACTATCATGATCAAGAGATTAGAGCTATAGGCAGGACACACTGAGAAATAGTTTGAGTAAAGTGCCAAACAGAGACAGTAAAGCAGATGGCAAGATTGTAAACTAATGTCCATCAAGTTGGTTGGGATACATGTTATGCACACTTAGTTACTGATTACCACGACGCAATTCCCTAAGTACTATAAGTTTAATTTAGAGAAGCTGATGGCGAGCAAATCAACAAATGATAAGTTTATTAATTCATTGACTATTAAGCTGGGCCATAACGGTGAATACACGCTCCCTAATTGTGGTCCGTGTAATCATTGTAATTGATAGTTCGAGCACTAACGTCTCAAAAGCGGTCATGGTAGTGTGAATATATTCATTCTTCCATCCGTTTTTTGAGCACAATACTTTTCTATACTTCTCATTCAATAATCACAAGCGCAGATGACAGGACTTCTTACATTTTAGAACTGAATCTGAACAATTATTCGTAAGGAAAGTTGATCAACTAGATAGATAGATTTCATACATCACCGACTCGAAGAAGGTAGCTTGCATACAACTAAATAGTAACATGATTCTCTTTACATACATACTTATAATGGCTGGGACACGTGTTACGTATGCCCAACCACCGACTGCCTCGACGTGCGATGCTAAATGGTATAGGAGTAGGTTGGAAGTAAGCTAGTGGCGGCCAGACCAAAACATGGCATAAATCCATTAAGTCACTGACAAGTGGACAGAGCCATGTTGGTAGGTGTAGACTACCTGGTGGGGGACCGCGAGATGATAGCAACCGATGATTAGAGACCTTGAATGACATGGCTCAAAATCGTTTGCAATGGCGCAGGTGCATCCACTCTTTGTGTTCTCTCACATTCTAATCTTCTCAATTTGTCATGCCCCTTTTTTCCTCTTTCCAAATTTATTTCACTGGATTATACTCCTTGAATAACATCTTAATCTTTCCGATTACTGCTTATAGTCTTACCACCTCTACCACTACGAGATTTGAATCGACCACTGCATCTCTGTGCTAATGTGGTGTGGCAATTCGAACTGATGTACGTACGCACGAAGTTCTACGTTTCGACTGACTGACTGACATTCTTATGATATAAATATTTAATGGAAAATATGTCGAATATTAGGTTTGACTTCGACTTATTTTCACAAATAAACCAGTCTTATCTGTATTTCTAATTATTAATCCATCAGACGAAAGATTATCTTCTATCAATCATAGTGAAATTATAAAATTAGATTTTTTTAAATATTTATTTGAGTTATTTACTAATACTACTCATTGCATTATATTCTCTTTTTATTTTTGTAATCTATATAGCAATTTATTATCATTAGAAAAGAAATTGAACACTGAACTTAATCAACTATCTCAATTAATTGATATTTATTCATCTTGAATATAAAATAATCATTTAAATGATTCATATAGAAAGAAATTTTCTCATCATTATTTCTATATCATAATATATTATGTAATAAGAATTTCTTTTTTCCCTTTTATTCAGCATTTCATATTGTGTATAATGTTTCTCTTATACTAGTAGTCATGTACAGTTTAACGAAAGTTTAATAATTCAAGGAAAATATTATAAATATTTATTCAGAAAAACAAATGCATGTTTTGCTTCTTTCATTGTTTATAATAATAATAATAATAATAATAATAATAATAATAATTATTATTATTATTATTATTATTATTATTATTATTATTATTATAATACATACATTCATACATATATGTTTACTCCAATTGTATACTTATTAACACCTATTACTGTATATAATTTTGTCTTACAAGAAATTTTGCTTATTTCTTTTCTTTATCTACATCAAGTTGACTTTTTCTAATCTTCAGTAGAACTGAGCAGATGAAAATATTTCCTTTGAAAAACAAACAAACAAACAATTTATACCTTTACCAGTATGATTTCTTATTGATATTGTTTACTTCTCGTCTAAAATATATTTATATACGTACATTGAATTAATGTAAAAGTATACTCACTTAAAGGAATTTACTTGTTAGTAAACTTTTTATGTTTCCTGTATGGTTCTGGTTTATCTTTTTCAAATTTCTTAATCTTTTTCCTATTAAACACACAATACTAATTTATATATTGTTTAATGGAGATTTTTAAATAATATAACGATTACAGTAGTAATCTGCGTTATTATCCCTATTTACCTTACATTGCATTTACGTCAGTCTATCTTTGCTTGTTTTCATAACAAAGAGGAAAATGGTAGTTGTTTTTTTTATAAAATGGAATGTAATTATAGTTGTGAAAACATTTATTTTAACATCTTAATCAAATAGTATAATGTACACTTAATCTTTCCCTACAATATAGTATTTCATTATCTGTAACATGTATATAGTTCTTTCGGTTATGAATTTTTTAAGGTAATTTTTGTGACGCAGTTTCTTAGAACTGATACTGATACGCATTGTTCCTATACACAAAACCGGCTACTTAAGATAAAATAGTAAGTGCAAGAAAGTTCATTTGGACTTAACCAATTCAAGAAACAACTGTATATGTCTCATCCCTTGACCAATCACACGCATTTATGATTTTCCCCATTTCTGATTGGCTCTTTATATCAATAACTAGACTTATACATGTAGTAAATAATGCTGTGTAAAATCTGAATATACAACTGCAAAATTGCAAAACCAGAGTGGCGTATTCTTCATCTGGGAATAGCAGTTCCCCCAAGAGTGGTCAAGACAGCCCATAAAACACAAATTGCTCACCCTGACAATAACATCATGGGTCTTATTGCAGTGAAATTCAGTGACCGAATACTCTGTACTCTATTAAAGTTTTTAAATATATTGCAATAAATGAGTTCCTAAAATGCTAGGTTTGAAGCTATCAAGAGTTCACTTAATCGGCGAACGAGAACAAGACTCGGTGAACAAAGACCAGTAAGCTAGCCATTGATGCGTCCCAGCCCCGCTAACTAGAGGGAGAAGTTCAAGCTTGGAATGGGAAGTATATTCAGCGAAACAGCCAGAAACGAGCGATAACAACACAATTCAAAACGTATACATACAGCGCAAAACCGTCCTTGGGGAGTACCAAATAGCATACTAAGAGACGCAACGGAACAATAGCATTTAATATATTTTCCAGTGGGAAATATGACATGAAGGTGAGAAGAGCGCCTTTGGCGCGAAAACAAAGAAATTCGAATTTTCTAAATAAAATTAGGTCCTTTTCTAAGTGAGTTCTGGGGATCTAACGTCCCCAACATAAAAGCACAAAATATATATTTGCATTTCAATTTCATTTGGATTCTCTCGTTGTTGATTTTTTGGTAGGAATGTGGTGTTTTGGTTGACTACTTACATACTGTGGGGGATTATTTCGATATGGCCATTATGACATAAGTCAGTACAGAACAGATGAGATGCAGGTACATCCAGCTGTCGAGTCTCAAACAAGACAAATGTGCATCCTAGACCCCACTGCTAGCTACATTCTATCTGTTCTAAATCTTATGTTTTCAGCACTAAAGAAATGATTATCTTATGAATCTTTTTGGCTTAGTAAACTAATCTTTCTAATTTTTGTTTCAAGTCAATTCTCGACTTGTCAAATACAAAGTTCTCAATCGAGTATACTTAAAAGCATTGATTTATGGGGGAAAAGTCATGTTTTGACAGATTAATTTTACAGCTTATAATGATGTTATCTGTAATAAGCCTAGATTTTCTTTTCGCCTGATGTACGTCATCACATTATTGTATATCAATAATATGCAGTTCAACCATAGGATCTTCAAATAGTTTAAATGGTATTGTATTCATTGTGTCATTGTTGAACATATTACAAACAAATTACTGAATATATATATTTGTTGATAATAGAAATTAACATCACAACATCATCTTATGCACCACGAAAAAAACTACAACAACCTTTAGTCCTATAACCTAATTTGACGACGACCACAGCATTAGTCTCTAACTGTTAATGTACACATTAAATGACCATTCTATATATATAAAAGAAACAATTACTACTATAACTATGTATTATTTATTATCACAGTTAATACAATCCAAAACAACGAACTCATAAAAAAAAATTGAGCGTAAAATGAATACAGATAAGAATAATTTAAAATATACAAAAATAAATTAAGTCGTGTACACAAATAACAATAGTAGAATGTAATAAAATTGAAAAAAGAGAATAAGTATTATACACACTATGATAAACTATTTATTGTATCAATTTCAATATGATTATTATTGGATGTATCATTTATACTGACTTGTTCATCTAATGACATTGTAACAACCTTTAAAGTATTATTCACAACAGAATCTATTGTTACCTTTTCATTATTTGTTAATGAAATAAGATTAAGATTGTGATCAGAATTATTATTTAATAATACAGATTCAATTGATGATATTGATGGTTGTAAATTTGACCATTTTATATAAATAGGTTTACATATTATTTGACATAAACTTGATAAAAGTGGACGATGTAAGAATATAGGATTATTATTATTATTATTATTATTATTATTATTATTATTATTATTATTATTATTATTATTACAGTCTGGTATTTGAACATTATTATCAATCTCTTCAACAAATAAATAATTAATTAAATTTGCCAAAATACAATAAGTTAATGATGTACAAAATGCATTAGCTAAATAATAAACATCATTATTTAACCAATTATCAATTTGTTGTTCTTTTAACTGATCATAAATTTCTGTTATAGATAATGCACAAGCATGTAAACCATTTGATACAATAATAATAATTCTAAAAATATTTTTTGGAAAAAAAAACAGAAGATAATAATAAATAATAATCAAGTATGAAATTGTTTTCTAATTCACTTTCATCTTTTATTCATTTAAATGATAATGAACAATAAATAATATTAAATGATTAATTGAATTTCAAATGAAAGGGTTAAAGAAAATTGTAGCTTAGTTAAATAGTTTAATGAATCTCAACAGATATATACATCTTTTTTTTTAATTTCAGTTAACTACAGATGTATTTTATTTATTCATTTGAACGCATAAATATTAATACAAATGGGCACCGAATACATATGCACCACACAAGTCACTTGATTTGTGTGTAGGCTATGATACTGCCCAGGTGCCCAGACCGAAGCATGTGGTTTTCCTAGGAGGTCACACAAGGAGCCTTCGACATAAAGATCTAATCCACAAGGCAGTGGAGCAACGTCAGGAGATGCAGTTTCATGGTAGATAGTGACCAACTATTGGTTCGTACACCATTTGTTTCTTTTGGATCCTGGAGCGCATGTATACCGTCGGTTTGGAATCAAGGTTTTCCCACTCCTTTAAATAGACACTCCATATCCACCAACCCGGTTAAACCGCCGGATATTTGTTTTTCGTCCTCTCAATTTTGTAAAGAACCCTCCCGCCACGAGAAGGCAGTGAATAGGAGTTCCTTGACAGTGACTATATACACGTGGCCATGTGAGAGCATTTTGAGAGGGAGAGTGGACTCTCCCCACCCTCGGCCGTACCAGGACATTCGAGGGCAGATGTATAACAAAAAGAAATTTAATTAAACGAGTCTCAATCTTTTGCAACTGCATGAAAATCTTGAATGTATATTTCAAGAATTCTTTACAATCGGGAGATTAGAAATCAATTAGAATCTATCAATTATACAACACATTGAAAATAATAATAGGTAATTAATCATGTCACAAATTTTCTGTAATTAGGCGTAAATTGTTTGGAAGTCAGTGGCATGGTATTATGACATAGAAAAAATATTGAGAAAGCTTTAATTTTCAGAACTATCTTATAAAGAATTCTTGTTGATATTTGTATTGTATAATTAGCAGACATTTTGAATTATTAAATTCTGATATTCTCTTAATTGTAGTTTATTTTGTTAAACTTATAAACTAATGTTGTATGGTTTATCTTATTTAAGCTACTGTTTATTAATCACAGATCTATCACTTAGTTCGTGTTTCACTTATGTTTTAGTTATGTGCAGATCTCCAATGTTAATGATAAATTAATTTTCTTATGTTGATTAGCAGTCAAGAAATTAGTTTAGATTATCATATGACTTGAGTAATATAACAAAACGGCTACACAATAGAGATATGTGATTGCAAAATCCAACTTCTTATTGGACACTAACTTGGAAGGAACTCAAGGACCAATAATCGTTAAAGTCCCAATCGTTGTTCACTGGTTGATAATATTATTGGTAAATTAAGTCATTGATCCAACAAGTGGTATAAGCGAAATAATCTATAAGTGGACACGATAGTTATGTGCTCTAATGATGAGTAACATGATCACGCGTGGACAAAACAAAATTGTTCGTTTCTTTTTAAGATACAACACACAATTACGATACAAAGTTCCGTTTCATGTAAGTCCCATATTTAGATGAATACCTGTACTTAGCTTTTCAATGGTTCTTCAACTAGAGTCAATTCGTGATGAAAATCACCTTTATTATGTACGAAAATCTTTAAAAAGCTACTTCACCTAAATTTTATAATGTGACTAATAAATTATAAATGACTAATTATATCATCTAGTGTGAACCAGTCCTTTCGAAGATTAGTTTGAAATTTTACTTGATTAATTATCCTAATTACTAAGTAATATAGATAGGACTGCATAAATATTGCTATTGATGCAGTCTGGCCTGCACATTCTCATTTACACTAACTCTACTGGAATAATAAAGAAGTAGGAGATTAAATTTTTAGAAGATACAAATTTTTAGTTCCGGAGGAATCAAACCCTTTTAAAATTCTAGTTGTGGCGTCCAGTTATCTAAGAGGAAAAGTAGTCAGTAATAGGAAAAGAACGATTATCCGAAACAAACTAAGTATAATTGTGAATCCATATTGTTTGCCATTCGGTGTACACAACGTATTTTCTACTTGCTGACTTTCAATCGCCGTGTCAAGGTCATTTGTATTTTCAGCCTCCATCATATGGTGACAAATTGATGTTATTTTTAATCACTTATCGATTTTCACATCTGGTTGGATACAAAGACCAAATAACGTTCACAGAGCAAATAACATGTGATGAAACATCATAAACGTAACTGCAATATGCCACAATTCGCTTCATCATTACAACAGTACGAAATACGTCAGATTTCCTAATCAGATATTAAAATCTTAAGGTTCTTTGAAACTGAGGGTCATATACTGAATTTCATAACTATCTGGCTCGTGATATGATGGGTCAGGTTGTACTTGATTTTAGAGTAAACAACTTATACAACTGATTCTTTTTAAACGCCCATGATACATCGTCATGTTTATTTTGTGTCGTTACTTTGTAAATAAGCAGCCTCTTTTGTCTTTCTGCATATATACTCCATGATATTCTATGAGTTTTCACACTATATATGACATTAAAAAGGGATTAGGGGTTACAAAACAGTACACTTAAGCTGAGAACATGTAAAGTAGGATTAAACTTTCTATACTGGTTCGGTTCCCCTACAAAACTACGAGTTCGCCCCTAACTGTGCCTGTCTAATTTATTAAAAATTTATTTCGAGCCCAATCTCACCATCCATTATCATTTATATCCTTTTCTATACAGAAGTATGATTGTCTAGTCTTTGTACCTGTGTGATCGAATTTTCGAAAAGCCTCAAAAAGTTACAACTTACCTGTTTTTCAAACCAGTTGGACAACAGATATTTAATCCATGAAATAATTCAACAAAATGATTGTAAAGCAGTATTAGTGGAGGGAATTCTAGCAGTATATTAGTCAGTTTTGTAAAAGAATTCAATTCACTGTTATTTACTTCTTCATGAGTTGTTCCGTTAATCTGAACACTTTCATCAGATGGAATTCGCCAAATAAAATTAGTAAGTGCAAATTTAAACTCCGATACAATATTGTCAATATAATTCTACAAAAAATAATGGAAAAAGAAAAAAAACAGGGAACTATTCTATTATGGAAAAAGTCTCCTAGCATATTTACTCTATAGAGTTAATTTATAATCATTAATTCAAAGCTTAGTCATCCATCTTTAATAACAAGTGGAAACTGCCCGACTGATATTTTATTATTTGATTTTTAAAGAATTGATAATGCATATAAATATCTAAAACATAGATGAATTGAGTATATTTAGCTTTTACTTAAGTTTACCTCTGGAAGTAGCCTATTAGGAACTGAACCTCTTACGTCCTTTCAGTCTTATTACAAGTTGGGGGATTCCTGTCAGTTTCTTATTTAGACTGTTTATAAATAGTAGGTAACTGAACAATAGGCTAGAGGTCAGTTGAACTGTCCTTTCGAATATTCAGCACGTTGTTCTAATCTGCTGGACTTGGAATCATGGTCCACTCTATCTTCTTCTTAAATATTACACACTGTGGAGGGACACTTCTTCTTGAAGAATTCAGGAGTCAAACTGGGTTAGGGATGATTTTGTCGACCCGGTAGCGTGATCACAGAGCCAAGGAACAACTGCTTAAGACAGGCCACATAACCGTCTCATGAGTAGTCTCTGATGCATAAGCCCCAGACCCTTCAGATCTTAATGCCGCCTACGGAAGTCCGTGAGATAAGGTGAGGTCGACTATACACGATCCTTTCTTCCATTGTGAGAAAGCATCACTGCTGATGATGGTAGTTGTCTGGTGCAAACATCTTCCGTCACACTCCACTATAGTCGGGAGTACAACGTCGTCATCGGACCAACGTTCGGTACTTTTATTCCTATTGCTCTCCAACTGACCTGCCTGGTGTGATACTACCTCGCTAATATAACTTGACTGGGCCATCAGGACCGGTAGGTCAGACCACCACGACGAAGTAGCACTGTAATCGGAGGGATGCTTAATACGCCATCACTAATACAAACCCAAAAATATTCTATGTCAAGCCATTTAGTGCTAAAATAAGCTGTACACAGTTTGTGGGACATTTTCACTCAGTACTAAACATTTTAAAAAAATTAAGATGTGTCTGTCAAGCCCACATGAGTTATCCTTGCTTCTAGACAGATCAGATTATTTATTCTTCTTGAGTAACACTGTGACCTCGTCAATTATTGACTTATAACCTTGGCTACTTTTATATGAGCGCGTGTGTATTAATTACCCGATTCATTATGTGTTTTCAGTTTATTTTTACGTGGTTATAAATATTGAGTCACGTTTTATCAAAACAAGTTGGCTTACTCGCCTTCTCCGCTTTGCTTAGCTTTCCCATTTTTCACTTTTGATGTCTGTCTGAATAAATGAGTGCTTGAAGTAAATTCTTCGAATTTAACCCATATATGACTCTTTATTACCGCTATCACCTAGACAGGGTTAGCCTGGGTAATATACGAAGTTAAATGGAAGATTTATAATCATGGCATATTTATTCGTACTTTGAACCTGGAGTCAAATCAACGGGCCACAAGACATTCAGGAAACTAGGGGAAAATATTAATCATTATACAATAAAAATCCGGTACATAAATCAAAATATAGTAACCCTAGTGTCGGCCCAACTAACCCTGATAAATGATTCAATTTGGCAACAAAAAAGGTTAGCCAAATGTGGTCTGAAATCACAGCCTATCCGATGAAATGATCGTCCAAAGTACATTGATTGTGATATTAATGACTGCACCTGAGTGAATAACGTCTCTAAACAAATATTTCTTAATGATTTATTTTTGTAACTGTTAGAGTCTGTTGCAGTAGCTCTTAACAGACGATCTGTCAGCTCCTGTGGAGAACATTTAGGTTGATACATCATAGTTTGGAGGTCACTACAGAGATTGTTAAGAAATTCTGCCACTTGATTAACCAACCAAGCATGTAACAAATTTGGACTGGATTCATAATAATTCATATCTTTAGATCCCTTTAATAAATTAATCGAGTAAATTGGATTCCCCGAGTATTTAGACAGTAGTGACTTTCCTTGAATTTTTACTCCTTGTGCAAGAATACCATCTTCGTCTGGAAATACCGCTCTAAAAAAGAAAATAGTAAAACCTGTACATTGGATTAGTATCTAACATTTAGGAAGAAATACCACAGTGTTACAGTTATTGGATTACCTTAGTCCAGAAAAAGTGTATTATACACTCAAATTAACAAACGAATAAGTGGATTTCAAAATGGGGTCTAAATTTTTGGTATGCCTAAACTTCTTAGTACAAATACACTTAAGGGATTTCAGCTTACCGTGTGAATATTACAATTTCCCATAGATCGCACCCATCCTTTCATTAATCAAGCACATGCAACAACAATATTTGGGTTTGATTTTTGATTAACCTTTGTTTGAAAGTACATTTTAAAGTATACTAATAAGATGCACAATGCACAACCACTCCTAATGATTTCTAAAGTATAGTAAGATGAAATGGTAAGTTTAAAGACAATGGATGACAGATAATCAAAGCAATGACGATTAGGTTGATATAAAAGATAAAACTGGAACCTTATTGGTCATTAAATGATCATTATTTACATGCTTGATTAATAATACTATTTGAAATGTATCCTATGCTTAAAATAATTCGATTAAATTTCTTCAAAATAAATAATCATTTTAGTTTCACAATATTTCCAATTAAATAACTAGACGTTTTGTCTGCTATACGAATCATCAGTTCAATTATCTCCATCATTTAATAAATTGCTTCCCAGTTAGCAGGACTAATCATGCAAGCTTGCTAATGGAGAAATATTTAGTCTGAGAGAAATAATAGGAAAACAGTGCATCACTTCAACACTCATTCAGTGGGTACTGTATTATAAATTAGTCCAAGTTAACTATGAATGTTAAAAAAATTATTTCAATACAAACTACTTGATTCTACTCTCACCGATACTGTGTGACTATGTCAAATAGATGTACGCGCGTCACTTCAATACGTCGTGTGGCCACCCAATAGGACTTATCATGAGACTCTTTAAAAGGCAGAAATCCTGACAGCTTTTCCCGCTTATCTACTCCATCTAACTCCTTTGGTGTACATGCCAATAAAGATGAGTTGATTTGACTCTTAAGACAATTTGTCCGTGTCTGGAGAAATTTCAACCGTAATTCTTGTTCACTCAATAGTCCTGTTCTACGAAGAAATACGACGGTCTGTAATGAAATGCATTCAGTTTAATTAGGAATTAAACAATGTTAGTTGTGAATAATGAAAAACTGAAACGCAAAGCATTTTAAGAATGATGTCACTAAAACTTGTTCATGTAAAAAACATTATTTGATTAACACCTGAAGTGTAAGCAATAACAACTTCAGAACGCGAAGCATGAAACACCACGAACTTTACACAGCTCAGAGCTCTAATTTTATCATATGGAATATACGAGTGTTGTTGAAATTAGATGCAAAGTTATAAGCAGGAACATAAATCAACAGATGAGGTTATAAATAGTTCCTGACTAGCTTTGCTAGTAAATGTGTTAAGTAATGAAAAGTAACCGCCTGATCAAAATCATAAAACCAATAGGAAAAGAATTAATATGAGAAAGCTAAGTGTGAGGAGTGTGACAGGATAAAAAACAGTGGTTACATATGCTGAGTAATAATGATAGACTGACAGATGTGGAACAGACATGTGTATCAGTCTAATAAGTCACAACTTACTTCAGCACAATCGAATAAATGTAACAAGTCTGAGTATGAGCGGATGAAAACCAAGACTGACAGTAAGGGAAACCCAAGTAAAAGGAACAGATGGGACCGAATTTGAACCATGTCAATTTAATTTCCTAACTTCTAAGACAAATGAAGTTGTCGACATACTTAACTACTTCACTCCCTATCATCAGTTCAGGTGTTGATGCAGACCAATCATGAAGCAAAGCTTCTCATCTAGAGGGAAAGAAACGCATCCCAAATATACGTACGTTTTTGTTTAAGCTGGTTGGAAGAAAGTATTTTGTAAGTATCTTTATCAAACAGGACTGTATCATCTGCGTATTCCAAGTCAACAAGTGAATCTCCTGGTAGAAGATTGATTCCTGATAAGTCAGACGATACGTTATCTCTAAAAGAATATCTATTGAGAAGTTAAATAAAAATAGGGAAAGCAGACAATCCTTATGAACACTTGAATTTATCAATTTTAATGGCATTTCCCCATAAGCTCTGACTCGACTAGCAGTGTTAGAATAGAGCCTGCAAAAGGTAGATGCACTTCTTCGGTACGTCTTTCAATGAAACTGCCACAAAAACCTGCCCAACTTCGAAGTCGAACGCCGTCGCAAGTTCGAGAAACACAACTATGGTTGGGAGTTCGCAGATATTTATGTGTTCTATAACCTAGTGAAGTGTGAGTATGTGGTCTACACGCCCAAGTCTGAAAACAGCCTGACTCTCCAGAGTTTGCTCTTTACAAGCTTTGGTTAAGGATTATATGATTATTGAGCGTAATATTTTAGATACGATATTGGTCAAACTGATTCTTCTGTGATTGTCACAAGAGGTATTTTGACCTTTGTTATAGACTGGAACGATCAGTGATCGAGACCTGATATATAAGATTTAGTCCAATTCTAAGACTAGCTAAGATCTCAGTCAATTTAACGACTAAAACTGGAAAACTATTTTTCAAGAACTCAGAGGCAGATCCATCATGGTCTATTTCCTTCCATCGCTTCAGATTACATATGGCTTTTTCTACTTCACTAATAGTCGGGGGGCTTATGTTGAAAATCTATTCAAATCGCTAGGTAAAAGAAGGCAACTGGAGAGCACCTAGAGAGCAGTTGGACTGTTCTCTAAAGTGTCCTACCAAGTTTTTCAGACCCCTAGATTGATAGTGGATCATTGTCCTATCCTTGTCGGAAATAGTTTTACTAACTCATGAATTTTTTATAATTGTTCCTTTGATAAGTCTAAAAAGTTGTCTGTTGACGCACATCGCCCCTATCTTTTCATCGATTTAACTTCAGCTTCCCACCACTGCTCATGATCATCGCATAGACTGTTTATTAGTTTCCGAGAACCTATCAGTTTAGTAGACGTTAAGATAGTCACGTGAACCCCAATCAAGTAGATTGCATCTACCAACATGGCTCAGACTCGAAGTTAGTGACTTCAAGCACTGATGCCACGTTTCGGTTTGGCCGCCCCTAACTTTCTTTCAACCATCTCCAACACCAGTCAGCATTGCGCGTCGTAGCAATCGGTGTTCAGACATACGTAACATGTGGCCCGACCATCTCAGTAGGTTAAGATTCACAATCTCATCAACTGACTTACCATAATTCAGGTGTTGACGCAGACCAGTCCTGAAGCAACAACTTGTATTTAGAGGGAGAGGATCGCATTCCAAACATTCTGGCATCGTTGCTTGCTGCTACCAGGAAACTCTGCATTTTATCAGAGTCTTCACCAAACAGGACTATATCACCTGCGTATTCTAAGCCGATAAGTGAACCTCCTGATATGAGATCAATGACCGAAAATTGAGTCGATGAGAGCGTTATTTCCATCAGTATGTCTATGATGGAACTAAACAAAAATGGGGATAGTGGACAGTCTTGACGGACACCACTTGTGGTTGCAAAAGCAGATGACAGTTCACCATAAGCTCTCATTCGACTAGTAGTGTTCGAGTAAAGAGCCTTCACAAGGTTTATTTACTTCTGAGGTACACCTTTAAATGACAGACACTGCCACAGAACCTCTCGGTCTACAGAGTCAAATGCTGCTTTCAAGTCAAGAAAAACTATAATTTTCGGATGCCGATAAGTATGTCTGTGTTCTAGAACCTGACGAATGGCGAATATGTGGTCGATGCAGCCACGACCAGGTCTGAAGCCAGACTAATTTTCTCGTGTTTGCAGTTCACGAGTCTTAGTTAGACGTCCGATAATTATCGAGGCTAGTATTTTAGATACTATATTAGTCAAACTAATCCCTCTATGGTGGTCACAGGATGATTTTGACCCTCTTCTTATATATTGGGACGATAAGTGATTGTGACCAGTCAGATGGCATAACGTCCAACCCCCAGACCTTAGTTAAAATATTAGTCAACCTAATCGTTAAAATTGGACCATCATAATTAAAGACCTATGGAGCCAATCCATCTGGACCAGCTGCTCTTTCTCGTTTCAGATTAGCTATTTTTTATTTTAACACATAGATATTGGTACAAGAAGGCACCAAATACATATGCGCCACACAAATCTTATTCGATATGTGCGAGGGCTGTGATACTGCCCGGGTGCAGGTGGTTTTCTTAGGGGGCCACTCCCCGAGCCTTTGACCTAGAGGTCTTACCCACAAGGCAGTGGAGCATCGTAAGGAGATGCAGTCCCATGGTAGCCGGTGACCAACGATTGGTTCATACGCCATTTGTTCCCGCAGGATACTGGAGCCCATGTGCACCATCAGTTTGGGATCCGGTTAAAGCGCCGGACATTCGCTTTTCGTCCTCTCATTTTTGCAAATAAGCTTAGCTATAGCCTTTTGAGCTTCAGCTCGAGTTGCGGGACCTACTTAAATGTTCCATTCAGGCTGTCTGGGAATGGCGGGTAGTTGTAGAGTAGCTGAAGGCCAGCTAACTAACTACCAACTGCATTACTAGTTGTTTTTGAAATATACTCTTGACATTTTCACCCTTGCGTTGAACTCTGAAGGATTTACTTCATATGGCTTTTCTGAGTTCAGTAAGAGGTAAACAAATACGTGCTCGTACTAGAGCATGGCCAGAGTCCAGACATGTGCTCCGTAATAAGTGACAAATTTATCGAGCCTCTACAACGATGTCTGCTGACTATATGGTCTATTTTTGTTCATCATTTCTTCGACTGCGAGAGTTATCATGTCGAACGATATCTCTTTTTACGCTTGGACTTGATGATTACTAATAATAAACTGTTGTCTTAGGATAGATACAGCAGATGGTCACTGCTATCGGTCCGTTGAGATGGCTGTACGGGGTTGTGATAGCAGTGGAGTGTTTCAGGTAACTAGCATTTACAGTGATACTACCTTTTGACAACGGAAGGTAGTGGTCAGAAAAGGTCGATCCTAAATGTCACATCTTACCTCACTCCTAAATTCTTGTCCATCATATTATGACACTACCATCAGATTAATGTAAATAAATATGCTACACCATAATCCAGTTAGTTTTTTCAATATAGAATATACTGAGAATTATTTGCAATATTTAAAAAAATACAAAGTGGTGCAAGAATACATACCTTGATACACGAAGAAAGAGATAGAGGTGCTCTCAACTGGTTATACAACTGATGAACAAACTGTGAAGCAACAGTAGACACTTGCGAATAAATCATACGTAAAACAGAGTACCTTGACCCATATTTACTGAACAACGTCTTAGTATAAGCAAAAATAGATATTGCGTCATCGTAATGACCATTATGCACACAAGTTTGCATTAGCTGTGGAAGTTCAATTATTTCTAGTAACTTAATGATTAATGACAATAAAAACGAAAAAACTCTACCTGTGTGTGATTTTCTAAGGCACTTCTATTTTTTTTAAGAGAGGCTTCAATGGAGCGAGTCTTTAATAAAATATCACTACAGCATTGTGTAAACTCAGTAATTTGTGATAGAAAAGCTTGATTGACGGTTGACATTTCTGAAGTCTTCTCCAAGATATTCTGACTTGCATCTTTGGTATCTATAAAAATGTGATAATTTTCTGCAGCCAATGACTTAATCTTGTTTTTTAGAACATCGCGAACGGTCCGTAACTGATACACTGAGGAAGACAAGTTTTCGAGATTTGAAGACGCTAACTCATTGACAGCTTTTTCAAATAAGGGTTCATTTCGAACGTCTGGAGAAATATTAAGCTTTGAAATTAATTGTCTTATCCACATGGCAGGTAGTTCTTTATTATCATTTGTTGATATATTTACTAGACTCCTATTAATTTCATCCATTTGTAATCAGATTTCACTTAGCCCAGAGACGCTCAGCAAAAGATCATTTACAGCCTACAAAAGATGGAGACAGTTTTCTAACAAAAGTGAAAAAATTTTTTACAGTGAAGCTTGTTTAAATGCTTCTCCAAGTTACAGATTAATTGTAACGAGATACATTATTTGGCATCTCTCAAATAGCATAGTTGTCATGTCCGATAATTTACCGCCGGTTGGTGCATAATAGAAGTTCTACAACTCCAGACATTCAAGAGTTATGTAGGCTAAACGCATAGTTTAAGATGTATATATTAGCTATCTTCCTTGAATAAAGAAAATATTTGGTCCGATCAAACGAAATGTTCCGTAAGTCTAATTTTGTAAAGTATCAAACAGATGTTTTGAATTACTCAAGCCTTAACATTCTAACCCTCTGACACACTCGCGTTTGTGATTTCACAAAATTACCACACAGAGTCCACCCGAAATTTTAACTGACAATAAGAAAATTTTTCCAACTTTCAATAAAGAATCAAGAAATCTTTACTCACTCAGGATCTATTGACAAAGATTTTCTTGGGTCGAGAATTTCTTTCTAGAAATTTAACCAGCATTTCTATTGACTTCGGGGAAACGCCGTCGATTCGCTACACGAATTCCCAAAAACGTTTTCTGATTATGGGTTTTAGTCCCACGCTTCGACATAATATCCACAAAACTCACACTTGTCTTCGTCTATAATTTCTTCTGAAACCATGTTTAACAATCTCGGTCATTAGCGAAGCACAGCTAAATATCAGTTACCTTAAGAAACAGTAGTTACGTAAAAAGCACTAATCATGTAATACAAACTTCCATACTAGAATTATTCAATTTCCTGACAAACTACAAACGGATAAGCGGCGAGACTATGATTTATGGACGAACCAATCACGTATAAAATAACAGGTCTCGGATTGTGGTGAGAAATTCACTCATCTATTTGGCTAAATAGTTTTGGTATTATAGCTGAAGTCAGTTCGTGATGAAAATCCTAGATCTAATTTCTAACCTTGATCATCAACTGTAAATCACAACTCTAATTCCTCACAGCTTTAGAACCCTCATTTGGTAGCGGTTATTAGCTGGACACTCAAGGTCAATCTAGCATCCCTCAAAGGACATCCATAAATTACAGTCACACCCGATTTGCAATATTTATTAGACGGGACGAAAATTTGCACACTAATTAAAAACTCCGTTTCGCATTTGCAGAGAGTCATTCCAAAGTCGCCTTTTTAGACATAACATGCAAACAGTAGACAAGTCAGAGATTTCTGATACTTAGCACGGAATAATAATTTGTATTGTGCCCTTTTATAATGGTATATTAAGGCGATGTGTATGAAGTAACATGATGCTAAGTCTCGATCAGATAACTATCACGTGGTAGTTTGTACATAATTGAGAACAAACAACATATTCTCACTCAAGTAAACTTGGTGGCGTAAAGAGGAAAATTCAGGGGAACAGATAACTTGCTGATATATGTAAGAAAAGTTTACTTTCCACGAAACACGTGAAATGTTTTGGGAGAATATCTGCGCTCATCTGAAGTCAAACTCGAAAAAACCCTTCATTTTTATTGACAGAACAAACAAGAAACCTCGGAATACTGAGCAGCAGACTCGAGCCTCATAGTTAGAAAACCCATCCAAATGATCACGAGTAATCATTGAAAATATGGCCACGAAGATGGTCTCTTGTCATAGTAGCAACTGGAAAGTTTTAGTGGTTTCACTACGACAAAGTGAAAATGTTCGAAGAACTATATGGACTATCTAAAATGAGACTTACATGTTAACCAGGAAGAAACCAACCAATCGCCAGGTTGTGTCACTTATCGAGGTGACGACCGTACCGTTGTAGGTCGAAACTGCGCGCTATCAGTAACCTTATTAAGGTTGTGTATACCTTAAACTGTGAACACTGTTGAATTGCGATCGCATCGATTTTTAACCTTTTTATATCCTTTCACGCATTCAACCCCAAAATCTGGATTGATTGGGTAACAGATTGTTGTGTAAGAAGGGATTTCAGACAGTAGCTATGTCAAATACTTTGTACCTGTAACATTTTCACCATTTAGCCAGAGGTGTGTATGGGGCAAATAATTCCCCAAAATAAATAGCTCTGTAAGTTTTCAACATCGGATGCTGACCAGATTAGTTTTAACTGACTCACTTAGCTGAAGGCTCTCGGTCATGCATCCGCACCAGATCACGTGTGGGAACACCGTACTCAACTGCCACTGCAATCGCTAGCCAGATTAGATCAAATAATTCCGATATATTGGCAATCGTCAAATACAACATCTGATCTCGATTCTATCTTTTGATTTCTCTTGGTGGGTACGAGTTATATTAGAAGGTGTTACTGGTAAAAGCGATGTCAAACACTGAATACCTGTGCCATCTTCAGGTGATCTGGCACACCGACTGAAATATCATCAATTTGTTCCATAGTTGAAATTCTATGCACAATATTGCCATTCGCCGTGATATATTTTGTATTTCCGGATTTTTTCGTACATATATATACTTCATTTTTATCATGTCTGAACACCAACATGAGTTAATAATGATTAAGATTCTCTCGTTCCCCACATTATAATTAATGACATTCTTGCCTTATAACATCAAACCCTGGCTCTGCTTTACAGAATACCACCACATTGGTGTGGCAGTAAATAAATCCCTAAAATCAATAGTCCTGTATGCATCCAACATTTCTGTCATCATTATTATTTACAAGTAGCCGATGAGTACATAAGTATCGTGAAGAAACCGTTTTGGGCTTCCTCAAAAATGCAATAACAAACAAGTTTCGATGATGTAAGCACAATATTTGTTCAGATCGTGGAACAGAACTGTCGGAGCTCGAGATTATAATTCCTAACACACGGATCTTTCAAAGTTCAACATAGAATAATAAAAAATATGATAACTACGAAAAATGAAGAGTGAAGATGCTTGAATTGTATTGTTTTGACATTACCAAGATGTCTTCAACCAATTATTGGTCAATCAACCGAATTTGTTACATCACCTTCCTCCCTAGAACCAACCTCCATAGGAATGTGGGCTCGATCAGTTTGTCAGGCGAAATAATATCACTTCGATTTCGGCAACCTGACTGGGAATCACTTACCCATTCGGTGTTTGAACTTCTCACTTTTGCAACAATAGATGACCGACCTGCAGCCAACATCCAAAAGTAGTCTACAAATGTCATATACATCACTAGGTTGTTATCCTATATCGGTGGCATTTGTCTCCATACTACAAATTATCTCACAGCAGTGGCTGTAATTGCTTTCTACATGAAAATCAAAGCCAGTAAGAGATTGGAATGTAAAAAATGGAGCAATATACGGTGTCTCTATGATCTGGTAGTTGTTTTGTACTTGATTTCTGGTTTATTTCAAATTCTAAACACAGTAGGTTCGTTTCTGTTCACCTAGTTCTATTAGGCTTAAGTTGTACTATTTATTGAACTGTTAGTTGGTACAATAATTCGAACACTCCTAGTCGACATACGAGAACAGTTGAAGGGACGTCGCTAGCGAACTACTCAGCACCACGTTGGTGAGTTTCGATTTTCTTATGCTCAGTTCGGCTATCAGGTTTTCACTCACCTGCGTCTTTAGATACTCGAAAAATGTAAATCAAAGAAAAATTCACATCTGCTCAAAAATTAATAGACAAATCATTCATACTTGAATAATTACCTTACTGTTTTGTACTATATTTAGATGAAAAAATGTGATTAAGAATTGCGGGTTATAAATGTTCGGTTCCACATAAATGTTTGGTCTTGCAAAACGTGCTGGTAATATGGAAGGAAGTAGCATGGTGCAGACACCTTGAACACGAATTTGAATTAAAAAGGGAACTTTATCTAAAAAACAATAGTGCCATTATGAACCTGTGAACAGATGGATTCATCACTAACTCGATTAAATACATTACCTAGAGTTTGCGATGACCGTCTTTTATAACCTGTTTCTAAACCGCAAATATAGATAGTGCCCGCTGATCAGGAATTATCAAACAACAAAATGAACAACAAACAGAAATACTCAAAGATGATTCTTTGTATAGAATGGTCTTCCTAGGACCAAAGACATAATCGGAGTCTTGTAGACTAACCATTTCATTGACATGGTTTCGACATTCACATTATTGTTATAAGGTTATATTTCCCAAAGTTATTTATGAACTGGTGTGTTCCTAACCTTGTGCTTGTTTTAGCAGTCGTAAGTGTTGCTAATAACCAACCCATGTAATAAAATATTATTAAAGGTTGGCCTACAGGTTATTTGAGGGAAAAATTGGATGTATTTTGGTCATTTGAAAAGGGTTTCGTTTTGTGACAATAGTGGCATTTTCATAAATTTCTGATGGGCAACCGAAAATGATTGGTTCAGCACGAGTGTACCAGTTATGGATATGTTCTAAACTCAATTCTCTGAAAACATATAGAACCAGTTGTTCTTACTAGTGCTCATAGATGGAGGGTTCGAAAAAAATGAGCACAGCAGCTAGTTGCAGGCATTAAGTTAAATCGAAGCTGTGAATCAGTCCGTTTGAAAGTAAGTTGTGAAGCCAATACCACTTAAATACTCCGATTAAATATAACGTACTGTACTATATTTACAGTTAATCAAATGCTCATAAGTTGAAAATGTGAGTGCTGGTTATTATTCATCGTTGAGAGTGCAGTTGGTAGCCATGTTTAATATAACGGTCGGCCAATTTCTAGGATAATAGTATAACATTTTTGTCAGTGTTTCTACAGATGCAACAACGATTCTTTTGGCTTGCCTACACCGATGATCTGTAGAAAATCTGCCATCAAACTAGTAAAGTCTCAAGGCAGTTACTGAACTGATAGAAAAATCCACCGAAACTATCAGTGTTAGATAAAGATAACTGCAGGAGAACGACACTTCATTTGTAAAAGCAATTTTCAGTCAGCTTACAGAATGATTTTGTTTTCGGCTTCACTGTTTATATAAACCAAATTATACCAACCGAAGTAGCAACAAAGCTTTGTGGGGATGTCAAGAAATCATTCTGAATAACTACTCATATTTTTTGTTGAATTTTGACTATTCGAAAGATGTAGTATTGTTTTAAACGGTGAATACTGCTGATAGTCCAGAATACGTCCACGTTTGTTGTCAGCAATTGAAAAATGTTCCGAACAACACTAATGAGTTTGAGTTACACGATTATCTTATAGATCACAGTAGAAAAATGTTTAGTGCTTGACATATATATGTATACAATCACGACAATGGGAAAAACCAACAAGTGTTAAACTATTGTTTAGTATAAAATGTTTCGCTTAAAACGACACAAGTTGTCGTAGTCTTATGTTGTCATATGAAACCACAAGGTATATCTGATTGTGAAACTAGTTTAGGAGTGACATATGACCAGTTTAAATGAACATAAAATATTGTCTGTTATAAAGTAATGCAAACATAGTGTATCGTCTAGCGAAGTAGAGCAACCCACCTGTTTTGTTATCAGAGCTCGTAGTTATTTTGAGTATTCACTGTTTGGGTCCAAAGAAAGTGTTCACAAAGTTTTAGTTTGACGTTTTCATTTAATTTCACACTGTTTTTCTCCTATTGGGAGAAAGAGCTAGAAAAGTGCTTTATTTCACAGGAGTAGGCTGCAAACACAACTCACCTCAGCCGACGATTCTTTGTTCGTTTTAAATCACCCCTCTGTTAGCTGTTTTAGGCTTTTATTTTTCTCTAGTGGTAAATCGCTTATGTATTTAGTATACAATCGAATATAACACTAATGCACCAATCGTAAAATATCTGAGAAAACAGGGTCGAATACCACACAAAGCTATTACTATTTTGATGCCATTTATATTTTTTTCAAAAAGGTAGTGAGATGGTACGTAAAGACTCGATTTCCTTTTTTGGTTTTCATTGTTTAAATACACACCCGGAGCTTATCAATTCTAAAGTCTCGGAAACCCTCCTGATGGTGTATATTAAGGGCAACCGTAGCTCGTAGATAAGGCTATTTGTTGCATATCAGAAATGTAATGATGAATTTTCTCTACCTGCTCGACACTGGTGCAGACGTTATTGACCTTCAGTCAAATTCAAAAGACCATCCGCATGACTGCCTTCAATCTGCAGGCGGCAAGCGGAAAACCAACTGCCACACACTATATAAGGTACATTTACCATAACGTGGATTTATTCAAAAATATCCTCTGAATCTTCGTGGTTTCAAGAGTATTGGACACAATAATTGATATAGATCTGTTAGAACATCATAGGCTGCTTGTTGATAAAAGCGGACGATTAGCGAAAGGCAGCAATAAATTGGCATGTAACTGTTATGTTATAAATTACTATTAATATAACAGCTAACGACTATATTTTCAAATTCACACCAAATAGCCACTGGAAACTCAAGGTTGGAATGAAGGAATTTGATTACATGATGAGTTTAATTATAGTCAGCACATATAACAAAACAACAAATAAACGTATCACATATTAGGACATGGAATGAAAATTTCTCAGAATGTAACACAAATCAGGAATAAACCCAGGAGTATCTTTCAGAAAAGCTCGTATTCAGAAGAGAATACAGAATAAGCTTTGCCTGCCATAATCAGTCTGAACCGAAGAAAATCTGCCATGATCAAACATTCAGTACTACTTTAAATCAATAGTCTCGAAATTTAGGGAAGCGTTTCACCAATAACTATGTCCTGCATTCATAGTTATGTGGAATACTCGCTGGGTTTATTTTCACCTTTTAAAACTTAATCTGATTACAACCGTTGGCAGTACTTATAAATGTGGGCAACCAAACTGTTTGTTCTCCGAAGAGGAAAGAATGCAGTGTGATGATTGCAAAAAGTGGTTCCATAAGATGTGTACCCCTTCAAGTCCCAACGCATACAAAAGATACTCGAAGCCTTGGTTTAGTATATTTTGCTGAGCAAATTAGACGTTACTACCCTAAGAGGCTATGAGCCTATTAGCTTGGGCCGATGGTGGTTGCGCTGATAACACGAGCACTGACAGTGAAGAATATGTCAGCGTAGTACGTGCTGTTTCGAGGCGCCTCAAACACCTGACTGTGATACACGGAAAGGTGAAATCTCCGTTAAAATTAACGAAGAGGAAAGTGCCACCTGACATTGACATTGGTAATCATGCATCTTTAGTGGGAATTGAAGATCCGGATAAAACCGTCACCGTTCCAAATAGTCCCAGTGTCCTGAGTGATGAAAAATGGACTACAGTACGGAGAAAACGAAGCGAAAAGAAAAAATCTGTAGGCAGTACACAGCCGGTTAACAAGTCATTAGTGGACTCCCATTGTGAGTCACAAAATGCACTACCAAAGTCTGATAGTAAGAATGAATTACACCCTGGCATGACTGAGAACGAGATTCTAATCTCATCGAATATTATTGTAAGTAAATTGCTGGAGTCAAACGACCCTTATCCCATAATGAGAGACGCTGGGCGAATATATTCGTAGTATCTTACTAGATAACTCTAGAGGAGTTAAGGTCAAAACCTGGTTAGAATAGGTAGGAGGATCGAGGATAACGTTAAACTCCATGCAGACTCCTTAGGGTAATCCCAGAATCGAAGAAGCAACGTCATCTCTTGTTATGTAGCGCTCTTAGTCGCGACGATTCCGGTATCCCAGTTAGACCTGATATGTCTCTTGAAGATAGAATAAAAAGAAAGAAGGCACTAACTGACCTAGAAACCCGTCGACTAAACTGTGAGGGAAATCTCCGTTTAGTGGGTTTTCGGATGGTCAGTTCTTAGTAGTGAATGCTACTAAAGCCCGTGTGGATAGGCCGTTCTACCTGGGAGTTTTATATACTAATGCTCGTAGTCTAGGTAATAAATCCTATGAACTAGAAGCAATAGTAGAAAAATTAAGGTCAATCATTGTAGCAGTGACGGAAACTTGGTTGGTCCATGATTTAGACAACTTCAGAATTATCCGGATACCACTACCTAAGGAGTGATAGACATAAATGTAGAAAAAGAGGTTGCCCCCCTTATATATAACCAATAATATAAACATCCGCTCCTCTGCTAGCGGTACTTGCGAAGTTATTAGCTGTGAATTGGCTATCGGATGTAGTACATTTATGCTCGATGTCATCTATCGCAGCCCAATTTGCTTAGCTGATGACCTTATTTTAGAGCACACTCAACTTTGGAGTGCAAATAACAGATACTTGATAATAGGAGACTTTAATGCACCTGATATTAGTTGGACTGAGGTGACCACGGAAGGATTTATAGACCAATTTGATAGTAGGTTCCTGATAACCATGATAGAGCATGCATTGGTACAGCATGTATCCGAAACCACACGTTTTGGTGCAAACCAAGGTTCTCTGTTGGACTTGGTAATCACTCATGAGACTGAGGATATTGTCGACCTAAATATTCTTCCACCGTTTGTGAATAGCGATCACGCCGTTTTGTCATTCGCGTCTAGAACTAGGGGCGTGATATATGATCTAGTTACACCCCACCCAAATGTATGGAGAGCTAACATATCAGCTATTCAACAGTGAGCTGCTAAGACATTGGTCTGTAGATACTAGCTTATCAGTTGAAGAAGCATGGTCTATATTTGAAGGTAAGTTTAGTCTAGTTACGTCCCCGTTCATATCATACCTGGTGCCACGAAGACTGAATAAACGTCCACCATGGGTAACTAAACCAGTCAGGAAACTTCTTAGGAAAAGGAAGAAGCACTGGAATATGTTCATCTCTACTGGCTTAGAACAATACAGATCCAGTTATTGTAAGATTAGGAGTACCTGTAAAGCGTTAATAAGTAAGACTAGACTATCATACGAAAAACAATTGGTTCGGGATGCTAGATATAGACCGAAACGGTTATTCTCGCATATAAAAAGGCAGACTCAGAGAAGCGATGGAATTCCATCACTTTTGATGCAAGGGACTCCGTTAATCTTGGCGAGAAACGACACCTAAAAAGCTGAAGCTTTATCAGAATATTTCAGTAAAGAATTTTTCTATCAGTAATGAAGAACGGTCAACGATTCCTTGTGATTGTAGCGGCTAGTTGACGGACCCTGTAGTCATTGAGAAAGGTACTGTCTTAAAGCTACTTCAGCATTTCAAACCCTATAAGTATAGTGGTCCTGATGATATTCATCCTAGGATTATGAAAGCCATATAAGATGTAACTGCTGAACCTTTGGCGATACTGTTCGACATGTCTCTGTAGCAGTCCAGATTGTCCAGAGACGGGAAAGACGCTATAATAAGTCCGGTGTATAAGGCTGGGAGTAGGGATTTAGTTAGTAACTATAGACCCGTTAGCTTAACTAGTGCAAGCGAAGATTGGACTGCGGCAAAAGACCGGAATATTCCTGTAGATGTGATCTTCATAGATCTAAGTAGGGCGAAAGATTATAGGGTGTTATGGTTTATTCGTAGGTCTTTCCAGTACTTAGATGTGAAATGTTTAGACTATTATACCCGATTTATGTGTGACCACATTTGGAACATGGGATTCAAGCAGCGAATCCTTGTTTAAATTATGAAGCAGATATGCTGGAAAGAGTTCAACGATAAGGCACTAATATGGTAAAAGGTCCATCTGGCCTATCTTAGGAAGACAGATTGCGACACTTCAACTTATTTCCGTTATCTTACCGTAGAATACGGAGTCATCTAATATTGGCTTATCATATCCTGAACGATGACCCTGGTATTATCTTTTGCTTCCGTCTAGGACGGATCATTTGAGAGGACATTCGAAGAAAGTTCAAACACCGAGATTAAATCGTTTACGTCTGGAATTTCGTTTCTCGCACCGAGTAGTTGATTACTGGAATTCTCTACCACAACACGTAACATCAGCACTTTCCGTGGATATATTCAAAACGAAATTGGACCTTCACAGTATTACAAATTTCAAGGATTAATATAGGTCGATAGACCTCCTATCCTTATTATTGAGGACTGAAGGCTAATCGCACTCATACCGACTTGGATCTAGTAAACTATAGTTCACGTAACCAAATGAACGAAATACGAGTTGGTTTAAAGAAACGTAATAAATGTAGTTAAGTAGTCGATCTATGAAAATGGACTAGGTCGTTGATGGTTTTTAAAACACATCGTTGACCATTTTTGTAGGTCACATGTGCATTTGCCGCTTTACTTGAGAGCCGCTCATAGAATGGTTTACTTGCTTATGAAAGTATAGCCTACGCATACTTATATCGATTAAGAATTGATGGATATTTCGCAAGCACACGGTGGAGATGTTGTCAATATCGCAAATTACTTGCTAAATGATTTAAAGGTTCCAATCGTGCATCGTATTCATTATTTGTTTACAGAATAGCTATCAGATCTGGGAAGAGCTAATTTCAAAATGTACCAAATTCCATTCAGCTTTAAAGTAAAATTTCTTATTTCTAAGCATACCTTCTAGAGTTGCGACTCAGGCGTCATCTGCATTTTTGGATACATTTCAAAAAGTGGCGGATCTGGCTACAAAGACGCTTGGAGGCAGCAAAGAAATCGGTGCGTGTCTGACCCGTTATTGTATGCGTCAAAAAAGCCTAGAATCCAAAGTAAAATCCATGGGAAAGTAAGCATGGTTCAGCCCGTCATGTATTTATCTTTATCCAAATGCTCTTTTGGTGTGGAAAAATTAATTTATAGCATTGTACATCTAAACTTATGTTTACTATTTACAGCCCTGATTTGCCAGAAATGTTTTTCTATCATGGCCTGAGGTTCTTGGTTTAAATCCCAGTGATTCCTTAATCTCGATGGTATGGTTGCACGTTATGGAACTTTAGTCAATGCTTAATATGATTGTTTTAGTAATAGGATTGTAGAGATTGTCTTCCAGTCTAACTATTTTCAAAACGCCGTGGTCTGTCAATCCGTACCATTTTACTACATACCTCCTAATAATATGCTGCAAATTTTGTTTGCACGGACAAACACTCATAAGTAGATATTTGCTCACTCTTCAAATTATTAGGTTCATCTATTTTTGGCCGGTAAATTGACCTCTTTCCAGGGACTGATTAAATTAAATTACTGGTCTAGAAACAATTAATAGGGACATCTAATCGGTGCATAAAGTTGTGCACGTGCTTAACGTGTATATCAGTACATAGAACGGTAATATTCCGGTATAGGCTGCAGCTCTTCCGAGCATAATACAAGCACAGTCTACAAACGAACATGTGTGTTTCCAGACAAAATTTCTGGCTCATTGACCTTGAACTATTTTACTCTACCGTATACAAAGGATATGCAATCAGAGTTTCTTTTTTTAACCTTTTGTCTTAATAGAAATTTGTGTTAGTTAGACCGTAGGACGATAGCGTTATTATTCTTACATACCTATCATATTTTTCTCTAATCTTCCGTATTTTAGTCATTTGGTCACTAGTCTTGCCAACCCTCTCAATTCGAAAGTAGATGAGTGGAAACGTAATCTGTGTCAACTAGAAAAAGACCGAACTCGTCAAACTAAAAGAGTGCGTGCGGAATTGAAGAAAGCCCTTTCTGAAGCACAAAAGTGGGAGAAGAAGGCCGCTAAAGTTGGTGTTACTGGCGGTAGTGGTGTGGGACCCGGTGTAGGTCATGGTATTATACCTCCTGCAAAATACATATGCTCCAATTCTGAATCAAATGCAATTAGTTTACAAACTGCTAAGGCTGCACGTGAAGTCGGAATCAAGAAGGAATTAGTTGAAAATACAGAGAAATCTGCGATGCGTTTATTGCTACTTGAGGAACGAAGCCGGTTTTGTTTTTTCGTCTCTTGCCTTCTTCCAATTCTTGTAAGTGGAATTCCAACGATCTAGAGTCAGTAGTGACAATATTTATGTTGTTTTGCAATGTTCATGTTATTTTGTCCGTGAACAACTCAGTCTCAATCGCGACATTCTCTGACCGATAAATGAAAGAAAATGTAAATCTAGACGGTTGGTCGATTAGAACGTATATTTTCATCCATACATTTATAAATAAAGTTAGAAATATAGAATAATATTGGATTTTAACAATTACTATCGCTAAAAATTTGGATTGTGTTTAAAATATGTAGGTGTTTGAAGAATACTAACAAGGAATATTACACTAATGTAGGCTTATTCCGAGTTTTCCTAAGATAATATGGAAGAATTAAACCATCTCCAGAACGGTCGTCCTATATGTTTATGTTTGCTTTAAGTATTAATCAATGCATAACTTAAATACGTACGAAAAATGCTTCTGTTTTAATTTTCCTGTTTGCTTTTGTATACTTAAGCACAAATTTCTCATAGTCCTGTTTCAAATGACTGAACAAGATAATTGACTGATGAATATTTGTGTCAAGTTGTGATTAGTAGCTGGTGTGTATACCTCTTCCTGTTTATCATCATTTAAATTAAGTAATGCTTTTTGTTGAGAAATATTGAAAACTGTATTTTACTGTATGTAATAAATTTACTTAGAAATTATGCGTATTATTTCTGTTAGTTTAATGTTCTGCTGGTTGTATGAGATGGGTATACTTCTCAGAACAATTTCGTCTTGTAAGTAGGTAAAAATACAAGCTAGTAATAGTTTACAAGCCTCCCTGCTAAGCTACAAACTACACTTCTCGATAGCGTTAATACTACTCATATGTCATAGCGTTAGCGAATGGAAAGGTGTTTAAACCTTCAACCTACACCTGGCATGCGGTTAGTGTAATGTACCAGGGTTTTTTATAAAACATAAGAAAATGTGAAACTTTTTATGAAAGTGCAGCGGTCAGTTTTCAAATATCAATTGTTAAATTTTTCGTTGATATCTTACAATTTAAAAGTGTCACTTTCTTTTTGCCTTAGGAGTGTCAATCAAGCATGTTACATGAAATAGCCACTATGGATGAACTTATTAAGACCCTAACAAAAGAAACTGAGTTTCCAGATCAGTTGGTTGAGGACGTAGAGTCTATTGTACTGAGGATGGGACGACGTGATTTTTCTGCTTCTTCTCGAGGTAGCAGTAAAATCATGTCAGTTTTCGTACCAGATAGTGGAGATAAGATGAACAATATAAATGAAGTTTTAGGAGGTTTGCTCATGACTAACGGTAATCGAAGCTATGTCAATTCAAGCGATACGGAGTCTGGTCGTCACGGTGCCGACATGATGTCACCATATCAAATTTGTCGTGACTTAGAAACGGTCGGCCGATGCAATTCTGTATGTGACAGTGCTGATATTTCTCTATGTGGAGCCAGTTCACATAGTGGCAGTGGGGGAAGTAATTGTCCATCCCTTTTGTCCCCCGCACGTGGTAATGTCGCTCATTTGGGTAGTCGTGAATCAAGTCTTATTTCCGTGGATAGTGCAGCCTCAGGAAGTGGCAATGCCAATTCTGCATATTCTATTGGAACTTCAAATACAAACATACCACATTCTGATCCTGTAAGTCTTTAAGTGATTGTGTTTTTTCAGTAACTACTTTTTTGGTTAATGAGATATTTGCACTTGGAATTTACTGTTTTAGTTGTTTTAAGCAAAGTTAGCAAATAATACGCTTTGTAATTAGTTTGGTAAATCTATCGATAACTTTGTAACCATGTAAAAAAACCTACTGATTGCGTTATGACTACGGAGTTTTATAGTTTTGGTTTTCAGTCAGGTATATTCCTAACACTTATCAACAATTTCATCGCAAATAACTTTAAAGACTCACTAACCTGGCATAGACAGTGAATTATTGTAACCTACTTGTCAATCTCTAGTTCGTATGCTTCGCTTTGAGTCATGTGTATTAGTTTGTGAAATTTCCCAACTCCTCAAACTGAGTTAGGTTTGATGGGGTCTGAACCTTCAGTCTTATGACTGACAGTTCAAACCTTGCTTCAGCTGATAAAGTTTAAAAAACCGGGTAGCACAGAAAGATTTATATTCTTAGTCCAATGAAATTCATTTAATTTCGTATATGAGTTTGCACATAGTAGCTGGTTGATATTGGTTTCGAATGAAAAATGCTATCCGGAAATCTTAGACCTCAAATCTAGTTTATTTCAATGTGTAACACTTTTTTGTCTAGCATAATCAATGACATTTTTGTAAATAACCTTCCAGACGTCGTTTTTTGAAAATTGCATTCTCTTGTATACCTATTTCATAAATTGCCTGACTTCTGTCCGCAGCTTTTGTCTGCATTCATTTAAAAAATGTGCTATTGAAAAAAACAGTCTGGATTTGCTGCTTTATATATGATCGTAGTATGCAAACTATTTAACTATAGTGAACACAAATAAGACCATGTAAATACTTTCTTCATTGCCTAGAACTTTTCAATCTACCAAATCGGCCGGTGTTTACACTAAAGTCAACAAAAAATGTAGAATTTGAAAATGAAAAAATAAGTATTTTTACATTTTGTAAATACATCTATGTATATGTATATTCGTGATGTTCAATATAATAAGTTATGGTCACTTTTTATTATGAGACAAAACATTTTTTAACGCTTGTGTCGGGAATGATGGATGTTTTAAAAATGAGAAATTCCTTTATTTTATTCTAAAACTTTTCACCGTTGTTTTCATGTGGCACATAGTTCAATTCAATGCTACTGTACTGGTAATACATGAATGCGACTTGACTGGTTAGTGATTCAATTAAATTGATTATTATTTTCTCTCAAACTAATTAGTTGTAACAGAAACTTCCTACCAGTGCTCCCAAGTATATATATATATATATATATATATATATATATATATATATATATAGACAGTTGTTCTCTAGGTTACAGTAATAAAGTCTTCAAGCAAAATAAATTTTAAAAAACCCATTGCATTACTGAATAAATTATAAAGGTCATTCAAAGCAGGTTTCTTTTGAAGCGACCTCTTTCTAATCTTCTATTGACTCATTTATTAAGCCACCATAAATGTAATTGTACAGCTTTATTAAATGAACTAGATCTGGTTTTAGTTAGGATTCATGTTGGTTAACAATATCGTATTATATTGCAAAGTGTGCTGAAATCGAGGCGAAAACTTCGTTAATTGGAATTACCATTACTGGTTACTACGCAACGCTCAATCTTTACGCGGTGGCTTAGTAGTTAAGACGTCCTACTTCATTTCGTCCAGTCGGGTAGTATCATTAGCCTTTACACTTAAAGTACCACTCACATCCAAGTACTTAGTAAGTGAATTATTCAAGAAAAGTATGTGTTGAATTTCATAAAAGTTTGTATACTGTACATATCGTATCAATTATACTCTATCCTAATTAATAAGAGATGATGATAATATTTATGGAAGGAGTAAAGGGAATTTCACATAACTTTGTAACAAACTAATTTCAACAGTTACTTAGGATTATATAATGTCTTTTTTCTTCTTTTCGAGAACATCTTAACTATTGTTTGCAAAATTCTGTTATTTACATTGTTAACTAAGAAGTAATATCAAGGCTCTTCATTGAAATAATTCCCACGACAATTCAAAAATCCGCTGTCTGTATGCACGCTAATCGGTATTTACTTAGATTTAATAAGTAAAATTCGGGTATTGTAAAGATATTTTTTCACTATTATCTGAGGACATTGATCTACTATTACCACCACTGATGCTATCATTACTACTACTAGGATTAATAGTAATAGTAATGATAAATAATACCATTATTTCACACAACATACAAATGACCTTAAGATGTAATATTTTTTGTTTTTTTTTGCAATAAACTGTTATCTAATTTCTTTATAATAAAGAACTTATGGTCTGGTAATTCGTCTAACGTTGAGAAGTCATTACTTTATGCTCTGTATAATTTTTGAATTATTTTTATCGTTAAAAAATACAGTTTTAGGGCTGTATCCATTTATACTTTTTACTGAACTATTTTAACCAACGTATACTTGAGTTGTTGGCCTATGTTTTTCTGCTTCAAGCGTATTACAGTCAACCAAAGCACTGAAAGTTTTGGTATATATATATATATATATATATATATATATATATATATATATATATATGTTTAAATAAGAAGGACGATTATGTATTACAAGTTGTATTTTAATAACAAATGATTATTTGTGTTCATCAGTCTTTAGCTTATCACTCGAATACATTACTTTAATGGTTAAGAGTATCTTTGAATGGAGCACTCCATACATAGAGCGTATAAGTGGGTATTTGCATCGTTGTAACTCATTAGGGTATGCATTTGACGTTCATCAATTTGACTATCTACTACCTACCAAGGTTTTCATTGTAACATACTGTCATCAGAGTTAACACAATAATTACTGTTCATAGCGCTGCTCATGAGGGTAAATATGAGTTGTTGTATTATTATAATTACTAACAGTTCTCTGTGAATAAGTTTACTTTTTGCATGTTTACTGGTCAATTAAAATAATTCACTGTAGTTAATTTTACAACGAAATAATCTTTGGTAAATTGGTAAAATTTTAATGGTAGCTGATATTTTTTTTACTTTATTATTATCACTATTACGGCTTTGTAAGAATTTTCGTCTGAATTTTAACGAAAAGTTTCACAATGGTTTTTATGGATTTTTAGTTTATTTAAATTGTCTGCGTACATATAAACCACTCTGAATAATATATGATATAGAATAACTAACCGTTTGTGTGTATACAGTCTTTCAAACTCACCTGTGATTGATGCTTTTTACCATGTAAAATGTACAATTTCATTATGTATTTATACGTTGTCAATCAGTATATGTGTATTTCATACATTCTTCAAATTACTTATAAGTTTGTCACAGTTCTTAATATCTATCAGTTTATCATTTGTATTCTATGATAATAACATGTACTATAGAACTTTCAATAAGAATAATTATTTCTGGATTGAAAAAAAGCATGACAATATAGTTGCCAATGTAAATTAATATAAGTGGCACAACAGTTTTTATGAGATGAGAACTAAATTGTCAGCTGTGACAAGAACAATTGTAATCGAAGGTTGATAAGTTAGACGGCAAACAAGCAAGCAAACAATGTAGTAAACAAAGACACTGTAAGTTATAATGCATAACTTCAAGTTGATATGATTCTTTTATAATTCAATGGCCATCTAAAAATATGTTCTTTACGCTACAACACTATTCGTAAGTTCGAGACTCATGAGCAACAACCACTTTTGATCTAGAACAAGAAGGAACGCTTGTTTTGTTTGCACTGATCAATAAATATCTCTGTTGATGAATTACAAAGTTAATGTAATCTTGTGTATGTGTAATTGAATCTCATGGGTCCATGTAATAAGTCAAGCTTAACATCGAAAAGCTGCTAAAAACAAACATTTTGATTGAATTAAAAGTTTCGTAAGCTGTCATCGTACGGTTTCGCTTATTTACTTTGGTCTTATGATGACTTATACACGTTTTATTTTATTTTCTACAAAGGAATCGTTTGATTGAAGTCGAAGACATCAGTAATTTACTCTTCTCTTGCATTGAGATATTTCTTTAAAATACACTTATTTCTCTTGTAGTAGTAGTGGCGCATATATATTGGCGCTGTGTGGCGCATATATATTGGCGCTGTATGTGGCGCATATATATTGCCGCTCTCTTGTACCAATATTCATATGTTCAAATAAAATAAAATAAAATAATATTTCTCTTGTAAACTATTTAATTGATTTTTATTGAATTCTCTCAGGTCAGTTCATAGCCGTGATGTCAATAGGTTCTATATATGTAAATTAAATTTTCATTGAAGTGATTGTTTTCAAATATTATTTTGTTGTTGATGGAAGAACTTGATTTTTATGAATATTCAAACTGAATTCTCCTGTGCTAGTCTTTACCTTATAAAGTTTCATTGATAATACCTTCTGGTCTCATTCATCCATCAAAATTAAGGCGTAAAGTCACCGAATTTTGTGTATGTCATTTGTTCAAACTATGTTAGGTCCTTCTCATTTATTGTGATTTATAGGGGTTCTTACTTCATCGTTACTGATGATATTCAAAAAATACAACTTCATACAATTAATAGGAAATATTGAACCAGTTGAACAAGTTGTATTCAAATCTCAGTGCAGATGTTGAAACTGGGATTTAGGCACATCCAACTGGTAAGTTAAAAATGGGACGAAACCCATGTCTTGAATTGGAAAACATGAGTTCTTTGCTTAAAATAATATTAGTGTACTCTACGTTATCACAAACTTATGCCACATAGGTTTTTTACGTTTACCAATAAAGTAATATAGTTTGTATCTTCGTCTAGATAATCTAGGAAAAAATCAATCATTATGACAACGGTGTATCTCCTTGTGGCAAATAAAACATAAAATATTAGAATTTCTGAACACTTCGATCGTTCACTTGTATCTTGTCATCGATATATCGTTTTTGTGTCTATGCAGTAGTAGTTACATTTTAGCCTGTTGTATTATCTTCGTTAGTCAGTCATC